TTTCACCTTTTAAGTTGCATTAGTGAAATAAATGAACTTTGCACGATATTCTAATTATTCCAGTTTCACCTGTATATATATCACACACAGTACTGTGCAAAAGTTTTAGGGATGTGTAAAAAAAATGCTGTAAAGTAAGGCCCCGTTCACATATAGCGAATTGTCGCGCGATTTCCGCCGCAATATCGCGCATTTTTGCCGCGCGATATTGCGAGAAGTCGCCGGCCAATGCTATTCAATGGAGCTGTCTTAACTTCATGTCACGCGTCGCTCGTCGCGGTCGCAAGTCGCTTCTACCGGACCCTTTTTTCGGCGGATTTTGCTTTTTTTCTATGGAGCCCGACGGAGAAGGTCGCGCTACCGTCACCCCGAAAGTCGCGATATCCCGGCCGCTGCAAAGGTATGTCGCTATATGTGAACGGGGTCTAAGAATGCTTTCAGAAATAAAAGGGTTAAATAGTTTAGGTTTATCAGTTAACAAAATGGAAAGTAAATGAACAGGAGAAATCAAATCAATATTTACCCTTTAAACCCGAAACAGCATCAATTCTTCTAGGTACACTTGCACACAGTTTTTAAATGAACTTGGCAGGTAGGTTGTTTCAAACATCTTGGAGAGCCAACCACAGATCTTCTGTGGATATAGTCTGCCTCAAATCCTTCTCTCTCCATGTAATCCCAGACAGACTCAATGATGTTGAGATCAGGGCTCTGTGTGAATCAAACTATTACTTCCAGGACTCCTTGTTTTTCTTTACACTGAACTGCGAGGTTCCACCGCGCAGCTTACAGGATCTGCTACTGACAGCTTGGTGCCAGATACCACAGCATATCTTCAGAGGTCTAATAGAGTCCATGCCTTGATGGGTCAGGGCTGTTTTGGTGGCAAAAAGCAGACCTACTCAATATTAGGCGGGTGGTCAGAATGTTATGGCTGATCGGTGTAAACACAGCAATATCCTAAGAAAAACTGCCTCTTCTGGTTGGCAACCAACATCTAAAAGAGGATATTCTTACTATCCTTTGCTATTGAAATCCCGAATCCAATTTGGTGCTTCGAACAGGAGGGTCTGATCAAGTTCAACATCCTATACTTTATGAATAAGCACATCTGACATTCTTTAGTTCTCTGGTATTTGGAATACCTGCATTTTTTCTACATATCTGCATACACTACATACCAAAAAGGGAGATATTTGGTTAGCCAATTGTGGGTTCAACTTCAAACTAGCAAATCTTTCTAGGTACTTGCCGGTTTAGAACAAATTGAAGAAAAGAGCTTGTTATATCAATCTTTCTAAATTCAAAATATTCCAATATTTATTTTAGAGAGCTGTAAGTTAGGCCAATAAATACCGTAACACATAATGTGCTTTATTCATCACTGGTGATTACTTAAGTTGCAGAGTTCCCCCAGTGGTTTTAGCAATGCTATGTGAAAACTGTTTTGCAGCTTCTTGTATCCAAATGATTTGAAAAGGTCCTTAACACCTCCATTTAAAACATCTGTGATCAGTGTATGTAAATAAAGAGGAACTGTGGACAACCAACCTATTCTTCTCAGCATATCATGTATATCACTAGAAGAGGGAAGATCATTGCCCAAAAGGTACGAGTCACATAATGGATCACTCTTTCAGTGGGGTCAGTATTCCTGGATTATGATCAGAGGAGCTATAATATTTTGGAATATTAAGCTTCTCCAACTTAAAATATTCCCATTATTTTTTCTTGGTTAACAGGTTTTTCTACCCCTTTTAATGTAGCACAATAACATCTGGAAGGCGGTTGAACAGAATTTTCTTATAGGGCTGGTAATGATTAAAGTTTTCCTGTTCGATTAATCGAAATTTTTTTAAAATCGATCGACTAATTTCGAATATAATGCACATACAGAGGGGGGTTTCACCAGAGCTTTGAGGGGGCCTTACCAGGGTAGCAGGGCTCTGTGGGGTCTAACCAGCCTTGTTAGACCCACAGAGCCCTGGCAAGATCCCACAGAGCCCTGGTCTCACCAGGGCTCCATGGGGTCTCACCATGGCTTTGTAGTGTCTCACCAGGGCTCTGAGGGGGTCTCAGCAGGGCTCTGAGGGTCTAACAAGGCTGGTTACACAGGGCTCCATGGGGTCTCACCATGGCTTTGTGGAGTCTCACCAGGGCTCTGAGGGGGTCTCACCAGGGTAGCAGGGTAGTAGATCATTGATCATTTTACTGTTTTACATGATACATATTATTTGTCTGCCTTGTACAAACATCTGATGACACACCGGCCCAAGAGTGACATACACCGGCACCCCTAATATATTGACTTGTAATTTTCAGACAACACATTGTGTAGAGGAGTTCTTTATCACACACTGGACCCAAATTTTATAGCAGCTGTGTCAAAAAGAATCAACAGCAGTTTGACCATTTGATGTAGCTGACCTATGGCAGGCAGAAATGCTTCCCTGAAGTAGGGATAAGTAGAAAGGGCTATGCGCACATGGGAATGGTTATAAATGTTCCAAGATACAAAGGCCTGAACCAAAGCTGAAAGGAGGACTCTGCCATGGGACAACACTAAGGCCTTCACTATGAGAGAGAGAGCATGCCTAGATCAAGACCCATTTTCCCGTGATTGCTTGACTCCCAGAGTTCTGTTTGATAAGGAAATTGTGAACCAGCTATAACAAAAGCTAAGTGAATTTTAGTGTATCTCTATTGCATGCAGAAAAGGAAAGGATACATAGCATGTGTATGTGGACAGCAGACAAAAACAGTAAGATGGCATGAAAGAAATAAAGCATACCAACTTAACTACCAGGAGCTAGTCTAAAGAATAGTTTTCCTTCACTGGCTTCATTAAACACTAAAACATATATGGCAAACATGTACAAACATCTGATGACTCACCGGCCCAAGAACGAGGAGGAGACTCAACAGCCCAAGTGAATCCGTCAGGTAACGAAGGGAAGGGGGAGGAGTCTATGCCCGTGACGTCACCGTACTCCTCCCTCCTTTACCATCACGGACAACTACATCACCCGACTCCTCCCCCTTCCCTTCGTTAGCCGACAGAGCCACTCGGGGAAGGGGGGAGGAGTCCGGTGACGTCGATGTCCGTGACGTCACCGGATCTCCGACGGAAGACCCGGAAGCCAGCGGAGAGGTAACTGTCTGTCGATTAATCGTTAATTTCTTTGATCGATCAAAGAAATTAACGATTAATCGACGGATTAATCGTTAATTTCCGCACCCCTATTTTCTTATAATGATCTTTTCAATTTTCAATTCACTTCTTTAATATAATGTGCTTCCCACAGCACCACAATGCTTTCCCTTTTATCGCTAGCTTTAATTACAATGTCTGATCGCTTCTCGTTCACCCTTCGTCGGGTTGACACTCCTACATCTTCTCCTGTTAATCTCTGGCGATTCTTTTACCAAAGCTTCACAATGTCTGTATAAAATGGTTTTGGGAACAAGGAGGCATAGCAACCTGTATAAAGACAATCCCAAGGATTTAAATCCTTCAAAAAGACATTTGGCAATTGGTAGACAAGTTATGTTTTATTTTCTTATGGCAGGTACTCGTGAGTACAACGCCCATCCAAGATGAGAATCGCTCAATGCACTTAACACAGATGACTAACCATGGAAGCTGTTCACCAATACACAAGTCGCTGCCACAAACATGTTTTATACACTTTTGTGATTATGATATTTTTAATATGGCTTTATTGAAGCTATCACACAATGGTGCACTTTATCTGGTCTATAGTGTTGCACAAGGAAACCCAGTTTGGAGAGAGCTGCAAGGCCATGGTTATGATTTTGGATGGAAGTAACTAGCAACAATGTATCTTGTCAACATTTAAAGAACTCCAGGCTAAAATATTCTTAACCCTTGCAGTGGGGCTACTCCTGCACTGCAAGGGTTTTGTGCTCATTTTCATCTAGGGGCAAAAATATATAAAAAATATATACTTACCTGAACCTTAGAGCCGGTTGGCTACCAGCTCTGCAGCCTCTTATCTTCTCTGCTCCAGCTATGGAATATCCCTTGGTGTCCTCACATCCTACACTGTATAAGACGTGATGACTCACAGGACCTCCAGAACAGAGGGGGAGTGAGGCTGTCTGGTCCTGTCTAGCAGCCAGCTGGCTGAGAGGTTCCGGTAAGTATATATTTTTTATTTCCATCCCTGGCATGAGCACTTATTTATCAATCCTTACAGTGGAGTAGCAGCCCCACTGCAAGGGTTAAGAATATTTCTACGCAGAGTTCTCTAAGCATTGACAGTTTGCACATTTATTTGTATTTAGCAGATTACAAATGCACAGTCCCCACAGCACTGCATATTCTTATATTTTACTTCCATACACAAAAAAAATGCAGGACGATGGCCGACAATTAAAATTAGAACTATGGGGTAAGTGCTTTTCCCCATAGTTCTCCTAAGGGTCACGGGAGGACACAAACTAGCGTCCTCCCGTGACCCAAAGCTCAGTATACCGCGAGCTACGGCTCGCGGTATACTGAGACCGCCGCAGCCGGGACGGATCCCGACATTACTGTCGACATCCACCCAGCTGCGCAATTGACAGCTGGCTCTGCCTATCTAGGAGGCAGAGCCAGCTGTACCTGTCCCCTCCCTCGTCCGTTCCGCCAGCCAGCGCTGGAGGATCGGAGAGGGGGGGGGAATCCCTTCAGGGAGCCGTGACAGTCACGGCTCTCTGCAGGGACATGATCAAGAAGTGAGCGAGTGACGGTATGTGTTCGCTCATTTCCCAATCTATTGAGCAGACGTGTGACAGTTTAATTGTCAAATGTTGGCTCGAACTATGAAAATCACTCACCTCATCATCCTTTAAGCAATGCATGACTATGGTGTGTTTTGAATAAATGGCATTTGCACAGTCTTTGTAATAGACGCACTAGTAAAAAACTGATCGTTAGGGCTTTTTAGAGTCTTTTAAGCTTTTTTTCTTAGTGTAACATGATTCTACTGACTTACTGGGTTCAGAAGGACAGTCAGGAAGAGTTCACCACCACGAATGGATTTATCCAGCTCTTTCGATCCTCCTGGATATTCATTGTAGAATATTGTGTGAGTGAAAAGTCCACAGGTCTGCCTTGGCAACACCTTGAGACAAAAGAAAACACAATGCATATTGTCACATTAGCAATATCAAAGCATAACTACAATATCCATAATTGTATATTTCTAAACCTCCTATCTTCCTTCTGTGTAGCTGTCTGCCATTTTTTAACATCTTAAGTTATCTACCTTTGCACTAGAAAGATACAGTATAATGAGGTCACATGACTGCTCTGTCTTTTTCTACAGCTAGCTGTTTGGAGGAGTCAGGTAAAGCCAGTACGTTACTGTAGTAATGCCCACAGCTTACAGTTCAAGACTGTAAACCAGGTACTGTGTGTTGCATGTGTTTGCAATCTAGATTACATTGCACAGCATAAAACATTAATCTGAGCTACCCTTTTATGCTCCAACACATCATCATTGCATGCAATAAAGAACACAGCAAGTCAGTTGCACCCCTGAGAAACAACTCTGCATTCACATGAAGCAAGTAACACAAGTTGGTGAGCTGCAGAGGAATTCTTGAGTCCCAAGATTCATCGTGCACAGCGGGGGCACTCCCCCCTGCAGATAACCTTTTCTGATCAGGATGAAGCAAGATGTTGGTATATGTGTTTGCAGTTCATATCACACTGCATAGACTCTAGCCTGAGCAACGTATCAATTGCTGCAGAGGGTTTCGTGAGCACCAGTATATACATACAGGGAGGGGGCAGATTTTGCCAAACCTTTCTAATCCAGATGAAACTGGCTCCGGGGATGTTTTGTGGCCCAATTAGGTCACAGCATCTATGACTGACATTTCTGTAGAAGTGTCTAAGGCCCTGCTTACACCTCGTGCTGTGGGAATGTGCATTTGTGTGCGTTTTTGCCATGGCTGCCACATGCGCAACAAATGCAGCAGAGTAGCTCATGCAGCATTTTTTCCCCCATGCATGACATGCATCCATGAGCAGGGGAAAACTTTAGATTTAACGTCTGCGTTTGGGTGCCATTAACAAGTAATGGCACCGCAAGCACGTTGCTAATGCATTGTGTGAACAAGCAGTCACGCAATGCAAAGGTGTGAATCCAGGCTAAGGCTGTCAGCAGGTTTTGTGAAAGGCTGGGTGTCTACAAACAGGAAGTGTGCCTGCTGCAATACCCTTCTATGAAGAATCAGAGGTTGGGGAATTAAGAGCAGCACGGTTTTCCAACAATGACCAGAAGCAGAAAGAATAAATGTGAGCCTGGTGTTCTGTTTTAGTGTTATTACTTATGGAAGTCAAAAATGTGTGCGATAGAGGTTGACCCTTATTTCTACATACTACACAATTTAATGTCCTACACTGGGTAACTTTCTCAGCAAAACCGACTGGAGATTGGAGTTACTAGTGTGGGTTTGAAAGCAGAAGAATATTTGAATACACCTCCTGAACTCGCTGTGGAGTGTGATGACATCAGAAAATGAGGTGCAAAATCTAGCAACAAATAACCCTTAAACAAGATATGTTAGGAAATGTAAATGTGTTCATGACTAAAAAGAATATTCACCATGATGTTGTTGTGAACGAATCCTCTGCGATAGCGGGCTGGTCTCAGGTGAGGGTACTCTTCCGTGCTGGTAACCTGTATATTCCACACAGATTTCCAAGCATCATACAGTTGGCTGTGGATGGGGTACACACCAGAATGATGAGGTGCCACTGCATATCCCAAATCTATGGGAATACCATGTTCCTATAAGAAAATTATAAAAAGGTTATATACACCCATACACAAAAAACAGCAGCTAACCCCAAAAAATTAGATAGAGCTGCAACAAAGCATTGTTACAGGTGCAAATACTGTTATACAAAATATTTGACTGGATATCCAGAATAACCAATCCTAAATTAACAGTAACATTTTGGATCAGGTGGGATCATGAGGTTTTCCTGCCTGTCTTGACTGATGATTCCCCATAAATGTGAAATTCTGACAAGACAGCAGAAGCATAATCAGAGAAGGGAGGGAATTCAGAGAGCATCATTTCAGGACACTAGGTTTCCCCAGTGCGGCTGTAAACATAAGCATAAACACATCCTGTCACACACTTCACCCAAATTGAACTTTTTCATTTTAAGTGCAAGCCTTCTTTGAAACAAATCAATCCTCTTTGTGTGGAATATATGTCGCTATGCACAGGACAAACATTCAGAGTCTTATCTATAGAAGAAAAAAAAAAGGAAGAGGATTGGGGACTACTCCCTACAATTTAAAACCAGCAGCATGATGTCCAAGTTAAAGCTGAACTCTAGACCAATATAAAAAAACAATAAATGCAAAAACTGCAAGTTCCTGAATTTGACCTGGTATCAGCCGCTTACAATCCCTGTGTAGCAGAGTTGGTGTGAGAGAAGCAGCAGCACAAGGAGCCAATCAGTACATGTGCTTAAAAGAAGCATGCTGATAGGAGCAGGGAGCACAGTGACAGAGAAAAGCTCATCACCGTGCTGCTTCTCTATTCCCTGTCCACTCACAGGCTAGGGTAGGTGCAGGTTTACCTGGGCTCAGACGAAGTGAGATGAATGATGCTGGCAATCAGACAGCAGAAAATAGTATTGTGGGCCAATTCTCTGGACTGAAGCTGAACATTGCAGCAAAAGTTGGTTTTGTTATTTTTTTTTTGTCAGTCATTTACTAACAGAAACTAAAAACAAGCTCAGTCATGAAGGGGTTAAAGAGCTTATCATTTTTATCTTATATCTGGCTGGAGTTCTACTTTAAAAGCTATGCTGCTAATGGATGGCAAGTAAGAATCATGCCATATTGAACAAACGGCTATCTACAGAAGGCCACGGAGTCTATTTAAAGGCAAATGATGAATGACCTTACAGCTGCCTGTCCTTATTTCAACATTGTAACCAGATACCCACGGAACTGCTTAGCAGATTTTCAAGTTGACTCTCACCATTGTCATAATGACACAAAGAATTGACCGACTACATGAAAGAGGCCATTTAAGGTCGGTACAGTTACTCAAATATAAGCGCTGGCAATGTGCAAACCAAGAAACAAAAGCTGCTTGCTCAGGCTTATAGCTGCTCGGTGGCAGATCTTTATTACTACACAGTATCTTGTATTTACATTTTACAGACAAAATGGAGATCAAGTATTGGCTTTCTTCACAAAACCATAGTTCTGTCAGCCTCAGAGTGACTAATATCAGTAAGACACGAAACTTAGCTTGTATATGTGGTCACGGCTCACTAAGGCCAGTCCTGTCTTTATCCCACACAGGTGTATTATAGCCACTGAAACAGAACGTACCTTTCCACACTGCAGGCATTTTGCATTTTTTTATCAGATTTAATTGCCTGGATGTCTGTGTTCAGTTTTCTTATCAATCTTTTTGAAAGGTCTTGCATGACCTATATTCCACAGAACACTGTAAAGCAAGTCAAGCAGTTCCTCATAGATATAACAAAATCTCACTCGGCTGACTACTTCAAATGAGAATAAGAACTACTGAGGAAATTACTGAAGAAGACAACAACTATACTACATTGGCTGCCATCTACTAACCTTTACATTAAACATAGAATAGTGAACTACCATGCTACAAACATAGAATAGTGAAGCACCATGCTACAAACACAAAACTATAAAGACCTATTTCTTTGTACTGCTCATGAGTGGTGGTTGTTCATAAAGGTCCTCGAACAGGGTGGTTCACAACCTTTCATGTCAGGGACCAGCTGCTTACACTGCTTTGGTATGGGAATAGTCTTTCAAGCTACAAAAGTCTTTATACATGAATAATTATTTTGATCTGTTGGGCAGTAAAAACTATGTACTGTTCTCCGGGAGATATCCATTTGTCTATAGTCAGCCTAGGCTGGAGACATCAGTCAGGTTTTGTGATGACTTTTAAAGTGGTTACCCAGACTATTAAAAAAATACAGTGAAACCTGACAACCTTACAAAATGAGAACTGAAATCCAATGACTAATTGTCTCATGGAGCACAGCAGGTGGGGAAAGTACTTGCACTACCTCAAAGCTGATAGTTTGCGTGAGCAATACATAGGATCTGTCACTCTGAAGGTCCCCACACACCTTACGATAATCGTACGATAATCGCGGGAAATCCCGCGATCGTACGATTATCGTAAGGTGTGTGGTAGCCGTGCGACCTCTACTACTGTAAGGTCGCACGACTTTGAACTTACGGACATGTTCGAAAACCCGCCAAGCATTGTACGACGTTCGGCGGGTTTGTGGCATGTCCGTACGATAACAGCCGTACTTGCCGGTGTGCGCAAGCGCACACTGCCCGTTCGGCATTGCGGTCATGGGAAGCCCGCCCCTCAGGGGGCGTGGCTTGCGATCATCGCAAGTACGATCTGCCTATGCAAGATAGGCAGATCGTACGTTTTTTTAAGTACCTTACAACCATCGCAAGACAAAAGTCTTGCAATGGTTGTAAGGTGTGTGCCCAGCCTTACCCATTACAGAGTATTGGTTCAGGACTTGCTCGCAGGGAGATGGAAAAGCCCCCCCGAGTAGTTATGAGCGCAGATAATCACCAGCAATATCCAAAATTAGACCATTGCTTGCTTTTATCAAGCCATTGATTGC